ATTTATAAAGATTAACTAACACTTCACTATGGTAGCGTCATCATCATTACCCACAGCCCGACTGCTGGGTGTGGACCTCCGTTAGTTTGTTCCATCCACCACAATCTTGCTCCAGTCTCACCCATCTACGGTCCGCGATTTTGGCACTGTCGTCTGAGTATCTTATTGTAGAAAGTTTTCGTAGCTATCTTTTGGCCGAATGGTGGCCATTACTCTATTGGTAACCACCACATTTCACAAAATGTCCTGTCCAATTGCGTTTCAGCTTCGTTATCCGATCTCAAACGTCCTGAACCCTTAGTTCGTCTACGGATTTCGCCTGCCTACACGGCCTACATTTATTTCTCTCGTGACTTTGGGTGTAATTTGTGGTTGTCTATGTGTGTGTCTATTGCACCCGCGACACAGGGTGTCTCTAGTGCGGGGCTATGTTGAGCGTGTGCGTTATTATTATTAAGTCTTTGTGGGTACGACATAATGTTTGAATAATTGGACATAGTTATGCAAACTAGAACCAACCCACAAAATGTCACCTTCGAGATGATTAGATTTTTGCAAAGACAGTGTGAAGAAATAAATGGGTAAGGTATTTGAGACAAACAACGTGAGTTATGTGTAACATTGAGAATGATATAGGGAAATTATATTGTACAGCAATAAATAGAAGACATTATGTATCTTTTTATTTCGTTAACGAGACCATGTTCTAGTTTTTGTAACGAAAACGTTAAAGATCTACAGTACTTCAGTACATGTGACATGGATCCATTTAGCATATTTAAAAAACAACATTGTATGACGTTAAGCAGCATCGTTGTTTTTAGCTATTAAAAAGTTACTTATTTAGGGTTGGTACCCTGAAGGACTTTTATTTTCTCCGTTTTGGCTTGTTATATTACCAGGATCTTGATGTGAACAGGTAAAGGACACGTCTGGTGTTCTACCTAAATACATAACTCAATTTCACTCGAGCTGTGAGTTGGTTCCTGTTTGCATAACTAAGTCCAATTATAAGTGAAAATAGAAGTATTTTCTTTTGATTTTTTTTCAGAGTAAGGTATTAACTCGGGGTTTCTTAACCTGTGGTCCATGTACACCTAAGAGGTCCGTGTAATGAACGCTGGGGGTCCATGGTGAGCCTACCTCACATAACAAATGCATTATATAAAAATTGGTATGCAATATGTTGTGATTAAATACGAGTAGGTACTGTGCGCGTGACCTCTTTCAATTTTCGCACCCGAGAGACGAGCGAGCGACACGCGCGTCAATGCAATCCGCGAGCCTTTCTTCATCTTTTCGGAAAAGATTCCGTAGGCTTTTTGAAATTTTGAAATTTAGAAAAAGGTTAAGAAACCCTGTATTAACCGCTCTTTGTGTATTACGTGAAGGTTAGGTAAATATACTCAGTTTATTCCGATTATAGCTAAAAAATAAAAAAATATAACCGATTGAAAATTTTACGAAGAAGTGCCTGATTAAATTAAAAAAGTAAAAGTTTTTAATGGTTTATTGCCATAATATAAAGGGCAGGAGTTGGCACTTCTTCGTTAAATCTTCAATCGTTTATATTTTTTTAGCTAATGTAGATAGGAAGGGCATACCCTTAATTCGTGAAAGTAGCAAATAGGTAACAATGATTGGTAATACATTCTTCTGGAAAGTCTGCTCCCTTCTTGCTGAACAAGTGGCGACCAGCCATCCTGATATCAGAATGGCTGGTCAATTATTTTTTTAAATTTCTCAGAATATATCAAAAGTAGCAATTATTTAGAAAAGGTAGCAAATAGATAGCAATTCTTGAATATACACTCAGTGCCAGACGCCACAGGCGACCAGCCATCCTGACGGTCACGTCAAAACGACCACCATAACGTGCCGGTACTTTAGCTACGGTACTCCTTATATCCAAACACTACTACATATATTTCTACTCTTTATATATGTCATCTGACTTGAATTCGACTAAAACCATATTTAAAATAATTATCTCATGGTTGTTGCTATGACGACTCTCTGTTATACATAATGCTAATGTTTAAAGTTAGATTCGATAAATATTTCACGCCGTAACATGTCACATTGTGACATGGCTTAGCTAATCACTTAAGTTACAACGGTAACAGGAGTCTAGGCGGCCTTTTCAATTATGAGCAATTCAAAATCGATTGAACGAGTTTTGTTACGATCAAGTGAGGTTACTCTAGTGTAATGGGGTAGATTCAGAACCCCCGATCCGATTTGATATCGTACGATTTCTTTTCATTTTTATTGACAGCACCCGAATCGAACGTCAAACTGTCGCATTCGAAACCGAACCGAAATGACGTCACACCCGTACGATTACTCGAACTTCTCGACCGGCAAAGGCTTTAAACGTTATTCAGAAGACAGTTATCGAATGAAAGTTACCGAACGTCCTATTGTTTACAAAGAAGAATTAATATGGAAATCTCCTATTATTTTAAATAAACTCTGGATTTTGTTCCATTTTATTAATTTATTTTAGGGCAAGACTAATGCATTCCTATATTTTAGGCCTTCTAAAGTCTTAAAAATGTCTATAAAAGGATTTTCATTTTTCTTATAATGTATTTTAAAAAAAATAAAAAAATCACCGACTAACTCCGTAAACGCTGTTGGATAACAATATCGTATCCGAACCCGAATCGAACGTTATAGCTCGGAAAGCGCCCTTCGATTCGAGAACGATATCTAATCGAATGATTCGATTAAAATATTAAAGAGTTCTAAATCAGGGTTTTGATTTGATAATTTATTTATTTCTGTAAAAACACAGGTTGTATAGAACTTGATATCTTTTTACGAAACCAAGTGATGAGACGAACAAGTTGCCCACCTGGTGGTAAGTGCCGCGCCTGTCCATAACAGTTGCAGTACCACTTGGTGCTTTAAATCACAAAGATCTGAGGGGCACTCGAAGACATAAGTTGACAAGCCCCATGTGCCTGTAATTTCACCGTTAAAGTTGACATGTACAAAATATAGTTTCACTGTCTGATCAAACAGACCCAGAAACACATTGAAGGTATATTATACATTTACTCACATGCACTTCAACAGACTCACAATATCACATAGACGTGCGTACATGGATTTATAGTAAGATTATTTTCTCGCTGCAGATTCGGCCATAATTCGGTATTGCGCTCTCTCTCGCACTTACGAGTAGAGTACGGGTAGGTACGGGCTAGGGCATAGGTTCCCAAACTTTCTGTCTTACCACCCACTTAGGCAATATAAAAAAATTTGAACGCCCATCACCACAAGAAATATTTGAAAACACGTATTTTTTATATTAACTTAACACAAAAAATCTCAAGGAAAATGTAATTTATATAGATAATTCAGGTTTTTTTCAAATGCGGTAGCGCCCCCTGGACAACGTCAATTGCTTCTGAGCTCCCCCTTGAACTCTTTAGCGCCCAAGGGACCTCTTTGGGAAAGTATGGGCTAGGGCTTTCATCCCGGGGTCGTTCTCTAAAATTTCGAGTCTCGACAATTTTTTGGCATTTTCGAGACTCGGGACTGACGTTTTCAGTCTCGGGAATATCGAGATTTTTACACTTAAGTTATTCAATTCAAAAGTATTAAAAATCTACTAAACCGTCAATTATTCATTATTCTTGCTACATGGACGTGGCAACACTGTAGAGTGCAACTTAATATAATTTGTGGAGATTTCAGAACGGCAGTAACAAAATCAGGTCCTTTACATCTGAAACTGTACTAAACTAAACGCCCTTTGTTTCGTAAGTACCCAGTATAAAAATGAAAAAATAAAGTTCTTAAATAACTTTTCATTTTATAATTTGTGTTAATAAAGAACTTAATTAAAATATCATGTTTTGACAGCCTAAATGCCTAGTCTTTAAGTATGGAAACCTATCTTCAAAACGGTCTCGAAAGTACGTTTTTCCCGGTATTTTTTCGCAGGGTTGTGCAGTACTGCAAATTTAGTTGTAATAATGAAAGTAGGAAAGGAAATAAAATATAATACAAATTCAATATACAAAACAATATTAAAATAAACCTAGTAAGATCAAGAAGGCCAGCGAAAAACTTCCTGATTTCACGGGATTTTTAATTAATTTTAATTTAATTAAAATAAATAGGTTGCTAGCAGATAATAAATTAATCCTAGAACACTGCACTAACTGCGCGCTCTTAGTGACTTCTTTGTTTCCTCCTCTTCCTTTGATTTGTTGTAAATAATTCACGCCAGCTGTCATCGTTGCCGCTAGGATTTATTGTCTACACCATAGGTTCCAAACTTGTTGGATCACCTCTCACTTAGGCAAGATAAAAAAATTCAATGCCCACCACCACAAAAATATTGAAGACACGTATTTTTTATATATTTTTAACTTAACACAAAAAATCACAAGAAAAAAGTTATGTATTTGTAGTGTAGTTTATGTAGATGACCCAATAGTTTTATTCTCAAATCAAATCAAATCATTTATTGTGTACGCACGTCTATAAGGTCTTATTTAACATTGTTGTGTCAGTACGTATTGCCAATTTTACGGCATACAATTTACATAATTAAATTAATTTAACAGTATACTACTACATTTTAATTACAAAATGTCAAATCTTAATTTTAATTTTAATTCTTAATTATATTTATGTCATTATTTTGTGGTGGTTAACTATTATTCTATGTTCTTGTCATTTAAGTAATCGCTGACTTTATAATATGCTTTCCCAGTCAATAAATTAAATAATTGCTTTTTAAATTCTAATGCGGTAGCACCCCCTGGACAGTATCTACAGAACTCCGTATACTTCCGAGGCCCTACCGCTCCTCTAGGACTCTTCAGCACCCACTGGGTAGGGACCACTTTGGGAAACTATGTTCTAGGCTGTAATAAACTATTTCCTCTAAGTTATTATTTAAGTAAATTGAGACTTACGTCCGTGTGGATTGGTGATGTCACATGTTATTATGTTCTATATTGATTAAAATATTGCAGAGACCCCGGGTGCCTGAATCTTTCCCACATCTGCGGGTTCATCCTAAACGTGCCGTCGGACTACAAGTTGGGGTTTGTGATGTTGCCGCTACGCCGTCGCCATTGGATCACCATTCGCCAGATCGGTGGGAGCTTCTATAACCTCGACTCCAAGCTTGATGCACCACAGTTGATTGGCAGGGTGTGTATGATTTTATTATCGTGTTGTATCAACCTATACAGGGTTATTTGTACAGTTCTAACAGCCTGCAGGACTTTATTACTAATATCATAAACAACTTTTGTTTCATGACGGTTTACAAAACATAATAAATTTCTAGGTTTTTATTGAATTGATATCCAATTATGTTTTTTGGGAAATTATTCCACTAGTTTGTTATAATTATTAATACAAAGATCGAACACTCAGGAAAAGATCCTTCGACGACGGTCAGCTAGAAGACGTAGGTTCAATCTTTGTTTTAATAATTATAATAATAAATTTCCTGAAAAAAAATGTTTAGTCGCGCAGAAACCGGTCGTGTTATAAAGTAAAAATACTTTTAATATAAAGGGGTTTATACTTATAATTTTTGGTACACACTGAACAGTCCCATATCATTCTACATAAGTTTTGTTTATAGTGTTTGTTGTTTGTTTACAGTCCCTCCTTATCAACCTCTTGGTTATGCATGAAGGGCACTATGACCTGTGCGCGCACAGGAACCTTACAGTTCAGGTTCTGACCCCAGATTAGCCAGTGTACAGGGTTGTCACATACCTCTGTCACTTGACTTCATCCGGTTCTTCGAGAGGCTAGTGCCTCGGTTGATTATTTTGTATTAATAATTAGATTTTTTAAACCAACTTCGAAAAAGGACATTTGTGAACCGATTTAGTAGCAGTAGAGTGAAAGAGTTCGTCCAGGGAAGTACTGCCACCTTACCTATTCCTGCCGCCAAGCTGTAATGTCAGCATTACTGTGTTCCGGTTTTGAAGGGTATGGTGAAATTACAGGCACATGAGACTTGTCCATTTATGTCTCAGAGTAACGGGCGCAGAGGCAGTGCCCTTCAGATCTTTGCGACTTAAAGCTCTGAGTGGCGCAATAGTTACGGACAGGCGTGTAGCATCAGGCGGACGACTTGTTCGTCCCGTCACTTGATATAACAAAAGAAAAGATTCTTTTTTTGTTGGAAAGGGGATACCTCAGTCCCATTCAAAGAAGAAATTGTTATAGGGTGGCAAATTAGGGGATGATTCCGGTTTATTGGATTTCACCTATGTTCCGTTAACCAATTTCAATAAAACTTGGCAAATACATATAATTTCACAAACTTTTGACGTAGGGTTTTTTTTATTATATAAAGTTATGATTTGAATCTCAATATTACGTAGACGGCCCCCAGACTTGACCCTGCAGTGAGATAATACAGGATAATTAAAAAAAAAAATTATTTCAAATTTCAGAGCAGCGAATTAATAGCATATCTAAAGGAGCAGTTGGAGAGCAAAGAGAAAGAACTATTTGTGATAGTGAGTAGAGAAGTAGAAGAAAAGCAACTGTGGCTGCATCAAACGCAAAACGTACATATTAAGCAACAAACGCAGAATTCGCCAAACACGCAAAGTTCGCAGCAGCAGGAATCTATACAGAACAGCAATAGCCCTTCTGACAGCATATCGTCGTTTTCCACGTACGACTATAATAATCGGGACGCCGAATGCGTGAAGTTGGCCGAAGTGAGAAACTGTGTATAGAGTGTATTAGTGTGGTAACGAATGGCAATTTTTATGTGTTCACAGGTTTTCACGGGTGTAATGTCGACACACATGTTGAGTTTATCCAAAAAAGTATGGGATTGTGTCCAACCAATCTACAGTCTTGTCTTTTTTAATTAGGAGTAAAATGACAGTTCGTTGCACAAGTGTTGCCCGCTTGCAAGCAACTAGTGATTGCAGTCGATAAATATTCTATCGACTATCGACTAAATGTTGGTCAGGCTTATGCAATAAATAGCCGACCTTGTTCCACCAAAATACAAAGAGTAGACATATTTTCAAACATAATTGTTTTTGTTAAATGTGTATTAATAAAAATCGATTTCGATATTAGTAGGCCAACTGTCAAAATAAGAATGAAGAGGCAATAACGCAATTGGTAATAACTAGAACGCCTTAACATTCACACTACAGATGTTTTGTACAAAATTTTACTTTCCATCGCTAAACCTCGCGACAACAGCTACTTAAAATGACTATTTAAAATTATATTGAATTGGCAACCCTAAGCAAATGTCATTTTACTCCGTCTTCAAGAAAAGACAGACTATACTAGATAATACACGTATTGTATTGGGCTGTTATTAGCTGGTTTACGCCAAGATTCACATGAACAAATGGCGCGTGCCACAGTTTGTTATTGTTAGTCTGATAACTGCGCACGCGCTCATACAGCTCAATCTGCTCAGTTCTTTAATATTTTTTCTTGTAAACAATGCGCTGTAGTGACCTTTAGTAATAGTCCACAAGTATCAAAGTTTCTATTAATTCTAATGTTATAAAGGAAACATTCTGCGACGGTTCTTACAAGGACTACAGGGTTTCATGTCAATAGTATCAGAATTATCTTTGATTACTATATATTCTTCTTACTGTACCGATGGCATATCGACTGTGAACTGGCAACCGGTATTATCTCAATTTTCTAAAGATTTCACTTTTGAATACCATTTTATACTATTTCATACTCCGCAACGTTGCAAGAAATTCCATTGTTTTTAACAACAGATGCTATATAAATGACGCAAACAAGTTTTTTATTCATCCTGTAAAGTTGTCAAAATTGAGATAGTACCGGTTGCAGTTCACAGTCCATATACTATAATGCGGGCAGGCTTCTTTCGTGCACCCCATTGACGGTTAAGAGCTGAGTCTTTGGGCCATAAATCATGCCAATATGTCTCACTTGCTCGCACTTATTATAGAGCGCTGTAGTGTAAGAAGTACAGTCGAAAAATTAATCGACGAGTGGTGAAAAAAGATGTTTGATACCATAAAAAACAATAGAAACTTTGTATAGAGTATTTACTACGATTACCTTATTTAAACAATCCCAGTTAATGTGTAAGGCCAACAACAGTTGGTGGACTGGGTTTCCGGCTCGGTGTTGCTATTGAAGTCGTCGTTATTACTGACAATTACCACGAAAATTGGTCTAAACAGCAACACTGTCAAACGTTTAACAAAATTGGAAGTAAATTAACTTTTGTATTATTTATTTAATATTTACTTCCATTTTTACTAACATGGATTTCAGTAAAAGTTAGACAGTTAATTGGTAGAGAAAGTGGTTTTAATTGCAACACTGAGACGGAAGTGTATATGGCTTTCCGTATACAAATCCACCATTGGAGATGAGTTATGACCTCTTTCCTATGGGTCTAAACAAGTGAAATATACGATACGTATTAAATAGTTATCCATTAAATAACCCTGTATACAATCCGAAAAGGTAGAATATCTATGTCACTGGACTATTTGGTATATCTCAACATATATGTGTGTTAAGTTAAGCAATAACCGAAATTTTAAATAGGCAGTCTACTTTTAATAGTTTTATGGGATATTTCGCTTTATGAATGAAAGTCAAAGCTTTGGGAACTACACTCATGGACATATTAAGAGGAACTCTAAAACGGTTGAATTATGGTAACAAAGTCATATAATTGTAATGGGGTCCACATATAAGTAAGTTATCAAAACGACTCAGCTCTGCAGTGTACGCGATTAAAAAATTACGAAACCTTTCACACGTCGAACCGCTAGATTGATTTACTACTTTCACAGTTTAATGTCATACGGCATTTTGTTTTGGAGTAATGCACTTGCGTCACAGTACATTTATGAAAATGTAATTAATGTTAAGAATAATAATATATTTTTTTATGAATAACAGTGTCAGACATAACATTAATACGAGGAATAAAAATAAACTAGCTGCTCTTGACAGTAATTTTTACAAAGACACAAATTCATTTAAGGGGCAAGTTATACGCTTCTATGTTAAGATTCCGGGTGATATTCATTATTCATTATTATAAAACTAAAGTGAAACAAAAACTTTATTCTAAAGGTTTATTACACAAATTCAGCGTACTTGGATGACAAAATGCCGCGGTAGTAACCCGTTGAACTCTTGCAGGTATTCTCGATCTAAGATGTTTGAAATAAATATTGTAAGTGATAAATGTATTAGTTACGTATATTTACAAAGAGCCACCCTTAGAGTTTCTTGCTCATTCGTCTCGGTGGAATCTGCATTACGAATAAGCAGTAGAATTTAATCAGTACATCGAGTATATAACCAGAAATAGAGACGAAATAAGGGCCATCCAGTTGTGGCAACTGATCAGGCAAATAGGCCTTATATAACTTTTAAATATCAACTCTCTTTCGCACTGATATCACAAATTAGAAAGCTGAAATAGTACAGCGCCATCAACTGTGTGTACGTCTCCGTATATTCCAATAATATTCTGTAATTATTGTACTTGGTACTTGGTACTTGGTGCAACGGGCTGGTATCCGCAACTCGACGACAAAGCGCCTATTTTGCGTGTGGTGTAATTATTGTAATAAAGATAATATCTCCAACAATGGGGGGTGGTTCCATTCGGTGGTGCGGGAAAAACAGTAAAACATCTAATTACGAAACAAACGGAATCCCATTTCATCGATAATTAAATATGTAATTTTTCAAATTTCGCCCATAATAGCAAAGCTCAAGTTAAACTGGTTGATTTGAAGTGCAACAATTGACGACACCCGTCAATTGTTTCGAATTCGAGTTGGGTTATCAGAGCGCAGTTGTCACCACAATGATATGGCAGAATAGGTTTCAAAGAAATTAAATGACATATCGTCTCTATTTCTGGTTATATACTCGATGAATCAGTATGACAATTACAAGGGTAACTTGCTTATTTAAGCAATAAAGGTGTATTGACTTTGAACCACTGGCCAGATATACTAGAACAATTAATTTGGAAAACGAATGACTTGAACCGTCTTTTGATTTCGATTAAATGTTGTATGTGGCCATACGATTCATATGAACGTTGTTACCGTAATTTAAATTTTGTTTTAGCGTTACTCTAAATATGTCCATGACTATACATAACAAGCAGAGATCGACATAGAGTGTATTTACCTAAACTTCAAGTAACATACATAGAGTGGATAGTACCTCCCTCAGAAATCTCTGTGATTAAAAATAAAAGGCAAAAAAAACCTAATACTTTTCTCTGAATACCTTGATAAAGCAATTGCTAGTTACACATCAAAAATTTAAAACAAAATACAATAGTATCGGTATTTCAGAGAGAGGTAGTATCTACTCGTGATACTTCCTTGAAGTTTAGGTAAATATACTATATTATTTTTTATCAGTATGCATATTTAATTTTGCTTGAACATTAAATTAGCTTCTTAGCGTGATGTCATGGTCACGTGACGACGTGGTGAAATGATGGTCATGGAATAAACAAATTAGTGGGATTGGTAGCCAGCTGCTTTATTACCAAAGTCGTTGTCACCTAACGCTCATTTGTAAACTTAATCTTACATACGTACTAAGTTAACAGTCTTAATTGGATACAATTGTCAAACGACCTTTTCGTAAAGAAATGAACCTTAAGTCCAGTAGGTTTTAGTATTACTAATATCAAAACAGATCGTACTACTTCTACGGAGTTCTGTTGCTCAACACTAGATGGCACTAATTCCATAGGATATTAAGACAAATAGTGAAACTCCATATAAATTTAGCAGCGCAGCTTGTATGTGTGCACGTCTGCCGTGCTGCGTCTACGGAGTTAGCTGGCATAGCGTCTGGCACGGTTTGCTAGAAGAGGCTGGTTCGAATCCAGCCGGATCCAAGGATTTTTTCTAAGTGTTCGATCTTTGTATTAATAATATAGCAAACTGTGGAGTAATTTCACAATAAAATAATTGGATATTATGTTGGTAAATTATCCTGACATTCAACTCAACGAAGTAGTTCCAAACAGGGCTCATATTTACACACTTAACACAAAACTGCTAAGATCCACGCACCCTAACGCCAAGCGATACGCACACGCGCCAGATACAGATGTGAAAACGAGTACGGAACTTCCGCAGTTACGGAAGCAGAAACAGGTCTGTTGCATCACTAATAAACATCAATGAGATTATTGACACTTGATTATGTTTTATAATAACTGGCTATAAGGGGACACCCGTTCTCACTAGCTTGTTTATTCAATTGTTTACGTAATGTAAAGTTAGAGGATTTGCCATTTGAAATATCCCAAAGACTAAATTCCTAGGCGCAGTTAATAGCGTGTTTTAGGTACTTAAAGTATTAAAATATTATTTATAACTTTTAGTATTTTTGTTTTTATATTTCTCTATTATTTCGTTTGCACTTGTTAATAGTTTACTTATAATATATTGTTTTGTTATATCAGATAAACGCATTTTGAGGTGTGTTAGGTTTTGTATCTATAGACATTCTGGTTTTAAGGTTCAGTTAACTTATCGTCGGTTAAATTCGTAAACCTCGTACCTCCATTGATGTAAACTTTTGAGGAGGTACAAAAAATGGAATTACTAGAAATAATGTTACAAGGCAATCTATGATTATACCTTTGTTTTATAAGTATAGTCGTGGTAGCCTTAGTGACTTGACTTCACGGACTTAGGTATTAAACTGGAAAAAATTACATAATATATTTCTAGTGTAGTTTATACAGATAAGTCAGTTTTTTTTCAAATGCGGTAGCATCCCCTGGACAGCATTAACGCCCCCCAATTGCTTCCGAGGCCCCGACAGCCACCCTAGGGCTCTTCAGCGCTCATTTGGGGGGGGCAAGAACCACTTTGGGAAACTATGGCCTAAACCCTCGCCTTGGAGGAGTCCCGTGCCCAACAGTGGGACGTATAAAAGGGCCTAGAAATTATATTTTAAACTTTAAATGCGCGATTTTGCACTTAAAGAGTAGAAAAAAGGGATTAAGTCCAAAAACAGAGTTACGAGGTTTTCAAATTTAACCGACGCTATGTTTTCATTTCGTGGATGACTAACCAGGCTTACCAGAAAGATTAAACTACGTAAAAACATCATAGATCTGCAGAAGCGTTGACAAGGAACAATCCAAATGTCCATTTAAACAAACTGTCCTTGCTACGCAAAACAGACGATACCTTTCATACCCTCAATAAGCCCTCAATAATAAATACGAAAATGAAATTTTTGGGACATAAAAAAAATAAAAAGTCATTTGTACCAGCCATATATGCCACTTGGATAGTGCCAAAATATTGACCTACTAACAATTGCGGTTTGATTCGGACACTTTTAAGCGCGAACCCGACGTCCATTTGTTGATAAGTCAATTACCAAAAATGATAAAAACTGTTTGATATGAAAAACGACACTTTTTAAATTTCTGTAGGTGAGGGTAAGGAACCTTATACAAGTGCCTATAACTGTGATTTTTAGTATAGAGTTTTTTAAAAAAAAAACAAGGCTCTTAGTAGGCATTTAAAATCAATGTTAAGGTCAAATAAAATATGTTAAACACTAAACAAACAACATCAGGACTTAAAT